GGGGGCGCCGCGGGGCGAGCGGCGAGCGGCGCCGGAGCGGGGAGGCCGCAGGAGCCGTCACCGGCGCGCGGGGCCAGGGCAGCGCCGCCGCTCCCGGGACAGCAGCATCTCCCGAGGCGCCGCGGGAGCCGCGAGCGGCGGCTGCGGAGGGCGGGGAGGGAGGAGGGGGGGCGGGCAGCGGCGGGTCCCGGCACACGGTGTCTGCGAGGCGCTCCCGGACTTGGGTGGGAGTGGGGGTTGCGGTGGGAGTGTGTGCGGGTGTGTTTTTTTTAAGGGGGGTGGGGTGGGTTAGAAGAGAGTCTGTGGTTTCCATGGAGATGAAGCTGAAAGTGCAGGAAATTTAAAGGCTTTGGGTCCTTGCAAAGCAGACAAACTGGTGCCAACGTGCGTGGCTGCTGTTGCTGCTGAGGAGGCTGCTTTGCGAGCGGTGGAGAGGAGCAGAGAAGAAGAATCGGCAGCAACTTCTTCCCTACGGGCGGGCAGACAGCGAGGAGCAGAAGCAGCAAACAGAGTTTGCAACAAAAAGAGACATCTGCCTTTCGCGGGGAAGGTGAAAAGCAGCGGCAGAATTTTGGAGCGGCTCCACCGGGAGAAATTTTATAGAGAAGCTTGCAAGAGAGAGAATTTGCAGGGGGCTTGTTCTCCTGGCTTGTTAGGGGGCTGTCTTTGCTGGTGGTGCGCGGAGTGGAGGTGATCCCCCTTAAAGACAAGCTATTTTGGATATCCCCGTACAAGTTTTCTGATGTATTTGCTTGCACCTTCTTCCCCTGCTGTTTGGTGAACCCAGCCCCCCTCTCCCCCCCCCACCGCTCTCCCAAGGATGGATCATTCCCAGTGCCTTGTGACTATATACGCCGTAGTGGTTCTGCTGGGTCTCCGGTTGGAGCAAGGCGCCTGCCAGCACTATCTGCACATCCGCCCGGCTCCCAGCGACAACTTGCCCTTGGTGGATCTAATCGAGCACCCGGACCCTATCTTTGACCCCAAGGAGAAGGATCTTAACGAGACCTTGCTCAGGAACCTCATGGGCGGACACTTCGACCCTAACTTTATGGCTATTTCCTTGCCCGAGGACCGGCTGGGAGTAGACGACCTGGCTGAGCTGGACTTGCTGCTCAGGCAGAGACCCTCGGGAGCGATGCCCAGCGAAATCAAAGGGCTGGAGTTTTACGACGGGCTGCAGCCGGGCAAGAAGCACAGGCTGAGCAAGAAGCTGCGCAGGAAGCTGCAGATGTGGCTCTGGTCCCAGACCTTCTGCCCGGTCCTATACACGTGGAACGATCTCGGCAGCCGCTTTTGGCCCCGGTATGTCAAAGTGGGCAGCTGCTACAGTAAAAGGTCTTGTTCAGTCCCAGAAGGCATGGTTTGCAAGCCTGCCAAGTCCGTGCATTTAACGATCCTGAGGTGGAGGTGCCAGCGCCGGGGCGGGCAGCGGTGCACGTGGATACCCATCCAGTACCCCATCATCTCGGAGTGCAAGTGCTCCTGCTAGGGCTTGCGCCTCCCCGCCGGCCCCTTCTCTAGCGGACTCACGTGGACCTTTGCTGCAACAAAAATAAAAAGACATTGGCTTTCTGGTTAACGTTGTAATGCACTGTAACGTGTAGGAGAATGTATATTGTGTGTATATATGGCACCGTTTTAATATACTATTAAAAGGTCAGTATTATACGTGAAATAATCAGTGTCTACTGTATTTTTAAGACTATTACCCTGATCGTTGCTAATGTATCTTTTTTTTTTTTTTTTTTTTGGTATTTATATTCCAGAGAGAAGTTGCTGCGCTTTGGCGAGGTTGTTTGTTGTTGTTGTTGTTATTGTTGTGGGTTTTTTTTAACAAAAGGATTAAAAAATAAAAACCAAACTTTTTGATAAGAAAACGTTTTAAAGCTATTTTCCATTCTTCGGAAAGCGTGTTTGTGAGTCTTTTTCCTTATGGACTTTAGATTAAAAAAAAAAAAAAAGAAAAAAGAAGAAACGCCTAGAGCACAATGTTATTGTAAATAGAGAGAACAGTTTGAATGACTTAATCCTATGTAAATGAAGAGTATCTGCTATTTATTCTTTATATCCTTGTAGTAAAAGTGCAGTGCAGAATTAAAGTCAACCACTAAAACACGAGCCGTTCGGATCCTGTTTGGTTTTTGCTCCGGCCGCCCCCGGGGGTCTTTCTTCTCTCGCCGCCTCATTCTCCACGCTCCGCAGGACGTCGCTCGGCGGCCGGGGGAGGTGGGAGCCGCCCGTGGCTGCGGCGGGGACGGGGCTTCGGCCCCTCCGCTGCCGCGCGGGCTCCGGCTTTGCGGGGGGCTCCCGCTCGCGCGGGCGCCCGGCGGCAGCTGCCGGCCGGGTTTTGGAGCCGCTGACATGTCACTTCCAGCGCGACACGTGTCTCTCACACCTACCATTGTGGTGGGACACTGCTGAAACTTGACCCGGCGCTGCGGGCTTTGCCGCGCGCGCTGCTCGCCGCTGCGGTGACAGCTC